TTTTCTTATGTGTTGTACGTTTGTGTACACTCTTGTGTTTTGTGTTGTATGTCTGTATGTGCGTATGTCCATATTTCTTATATGAGGAGCGCTCATGAAAAAATGGATCCGAATTATTATTATTTTTTTATTCACGTGATTTAAATGGTTTAATTTAAATTATGTAAACAGCTGTTAAGGATTGTTTTTAAAGGTGGTTAACAGATCTGTTTGTTTACTAATTTAAATTAGGTAAAAGGCTGTTAAGCATTGTTTTTAAAGTAGGTTAACAGATCTGTTTGTTTACTTTCACCTTTCCTTTTCATTATATTTAATAATTCTTTTCAGGATAATGTCTCTTTAGCATCATTGCCAGAATTCCTATCTCCATCCCAGTGCCAGTGAAGAACTCAACAAGTAATGCTCAATCAAAGAGTCAACTTACTTTGGGAGGAGACAGATTTTGGGGAGGAAATGGACATATTGATAGATTCCTCTGCTTTGAACTGCTTGCAGAACTTGCCTGGACTATGTAACTATCGTTTGGTGCAGCGAATTGTGGTAATGGTGGCATATCTTTGCTGATGGTGTCACCAGTGATGCAATTTTTCCCAAGGAGCCGTCAATTGGCTTGGTGTCGTGGCATTTCTGTATCCTCCTCCCTTCTGCTAGTGATGGTCTAAAATTTGGGGGCCAATGGCTTATGCTGGACCGGTAGTCAGTGACGGGTGTGATCCAATTGCAGTGGTATCAACCTAAGACAGGAGGCTAACGCCTAAAGGTCAGTTTTCCGATGACGGGTAAGAACCACATGTTGAATTGGACAACCTACCAGGCACGGTCCATAAGCCACATTAACCTCACTCCCCCACTGGCACCAAGGCCAAATTTGGGGGCCAACAGAGGTGAGGCAAAGAACCTCACCCCCCCACTGGTGCATAGACCTATCCACAAGTATGGCTGTATGCTGGACCGGTAGTCAGTGACGGGTATGATTCAATTGCAGTGGTATCAACCTAAGACAGGAGGCTAACGCCTAAAGGTCAGTTTTCCGATGACGGGTAAGAACCATATGTTGAATTGGACAACCTACCAGGCACGGTCCTTAAGCCACATTGCTTGTTGTTTAATTAATCAGAAGGGGGGAGATGCTGGGAGCCATTAGCCAAGTAAGTATGACAATTTCCTTGCCAGCGTACCCCATGTTGCAGTGACATTGAATGTACATGACCTTGCTCAAGGACCAAGGCAGATTAGGGTGTTCCCGGTTTTAAGATAATCTTGTTTAGGGCGTTCCCAGTTTAGGTTCCAGGTTTAAGGTTTAAGATTATTCCTGCTGGGAATAGGGCGTATCCTGCTGCCTGAGTTCCCCTTGAGTTCTCACGGGATTCAGACAATATATTTTGGAGATAGAAGCCCAGTGGAGGTGAATTTGGGCAGAGAACGTGGATTTGGGAAGAGAACGTGGATTTCCCCAGAACGTGATTGTAGACGGCTGGTGTGAGTTCGGGAATAAAGAATTGCTGTTTGAATCTACAAGCTGTGTGGTGGCTCGTGATTGTGTGCCCAGCCAGACTGCGGCATTTGTGCCCAGCCAGACTGTGGCATGCATCCTCATCTGTATCTGGTATTACCACTTTGGTTATCTTTGGTTAATCTATTAAGTGTGATGATGCCTCAAGATGGTCTCAGATTGCATCTCCCTAATGCTAGTGGTTTCCAACATCTTTTCCGGTACTTATTGTCATCTTTATATTGTCTTCAAAAAGGCTATATGTCTTCTTATTTTAACTATATTCATAGGTAACAAGTGGTATAGCAGAACACCAAGTGATTTCTTCAAGTAGTAAGAGCATTTTTAAATTAAATATTAGTTTTCCTACAGAGGGCCCTTTAGCAAGATACTCATAGGAAGTGCATAGAATAAAATTACAATGCATATACCATTCTAGAGTTAATGATTATGAGTAAAGTTTAAGAAACACTTTCAAATAGCCAAAGGTACAAATAATATAAACTTCTCAGACAAAATGAAACAAAAGAATAAACCATATTTTTCAAATAATTTAAAGCAATAAGTAAGATTATAATTGTAATAGAATACAATGGAAATCCTTATAATATTTTTTTCTGGGAAAATCTGTATAGAATAATATCATGTAAGGAATATGGTTATAATAATCAGAAAGTGGCTGGGGATATAGCTCAGCTGGTAGAGTGCTTGACTAGCATGCACAAGACCCTGGGTTCAATGCCCAGCACTACCAATAATGATAATAATCATCATCAGAAAGTAAGAAAAGATAACTAAGCACATGTCTTTATATATGATTAATTGTTCTAGTGGCTTCTCTTTATTCTCCTTTTCACTTTTTGTTCATAACACAAAGAAAACTACTGACTGAAAAATACAATGTAAGTAAACTTAGTTCAGGGGAATCAAATGTTGACCTGAAAGCAATCAAATTGTGTTTTGAAATCTCCTGATAATTCTCCTGAACAACTGATTTTACTTACCTGAAATTAATTTATCCAACCAATATTCACTAAGTACTCATGTGTCTTTACTAAGCTAGCACTGTATAAGACTCTTGGGATCCATGACACAGAAAATATATTTGATGTGCTGAAGAGACTTAAAATATAGTAGACAGAGACAAAATTGTAAGAAGCTTAATGTTTCCTTGAAAATATTAAAGAAAAGAAGTGATCTCTGTGGTTCAGTAGGGTTGACTCTCTGAACTATTCTAAATATTTTCTTGATGATAATTCAAGTTCATGAATAGAAAAAAGAAATTAGGAGAAAGGTGAAGAGATAGTAGTTGAAAGCAATGGCCTATACATAATAGTTACTAACTACATTTTGTTCATTTTGCCCTATCATTTCCCCCAAATGAGGCGATGTGCTTTTGGCTAATGAAAATGGTTGCATTTGTTGTGTACTGTATGTATGCATTTGCATATCTTTGTTACTTAATAACTAACCATATTTATAGTTACTAGATTAGAGTGTGACATGAATGGCACATTAGAATTCAGAAAGGCATTATCTAATGTCTTTCTTAGGTCCCAGGGAAGAAAAAATGCTTGTGTAAAATAATAATGCTCCCTAAAAACCAAGAGGGATTTTTCAGGGAAAGAATGAAAAGAATTTTTCTGAATTTCACTCAGGACTAAATACAAGAACATGAAGAAAAGATGTGATTTGGATAGAGGATTTCATAAGTGTTTCAAATTTGAAAGAGGCAAATGAAGTGTGTTAAAAATATAGTTCCCTGAAAAACATCTAAAATAGAATTTTTCTTTTGAAGAGTCAGGAAAATGAACTGCATTTTTTCTCAAGGTCAGTTTAACCCCAGAAATCCATGTGTTCTCCTCTGCAAAAATAAGCTGCCCTCTTCCCCTACCCCCATCCTGATCAGGTGAGGAAACTGGCATTCTATGTGATGCTTCTTTAACCATAATAATACCATAATAAACAGTGCCATCTACTGACTAACTTACACTATCTGCTATATCTCAGAAGTAAATATTGATGTGATAGCAAATTCTACGTTGATATTTCTTACAGGTTGACAGGCAGTTCTGTGTCATGCTTACTCAAAGCCATAGGGAATATAGATATCATCTGATTTGATTTTCTTGATTTTTTAACAGATGAAGCAATTGAGAACGGAAAAGATGGATCAATGTGCCCCAAATTTTGACATAGTATTTTTCAGTGAGTACCATTGTGAACTGAACCCTGGGAATGGAAGGAATTTAACACTTAGGAGATTGAAATCAATCTTCAAAGTTATCCAACCATTGGGGAAAAAGTGACAGAGATGATTAATGAAAAAAGTATGAAATTCATATAGCACAGCAAGTTGGAAAACTGCTAATCGAAAGTTTGGGGGGAAAGAAAATGCTCATATCAGGCTTAAGAAAAAAGAATGAAAGAGAAAATAATAAGTTAATGCGATTTTGCTCTTTCCTATTTAGCAACAGAGGATTGCAACTATTTATGATTGCTATGGAAGCCAGCTTTGTCCCCCACAAAAGCAACAGCTATAAAATGGATTTATTCTGCTTTATGAGGCATCATGTCTATACCAGCTTACAGCATGAAAACTTAAACAAGTATAACCATATTATATAATCATCAAATTAATGCAATCAGGCTGAGCAAAGTAGTCTACTCATCAATATGTTCCTATATTTTAATTATCAAAAATTTAAAAAAAAACATTAAGCCATGTTTAGTTTCTATTTGTATCCAAGACATGACTTATTTGTCTGAATAGTAGATAACATCTAAGTATTACATTCAAGTAGGTTCATAGTTGTATCATTATAGCATTTTAGTACTGGGCCTTTTTTCTGTAAGTAGATTAACAAATATTTGTGGAATGGAATATTGGTAAAAGGCTACTGTACCTTCTCATTTAAAATAATAAATTGTTAAGCTATTTATTCTAATAGGCCCAGGATTTTTATTTTGTTGTTGTTGCTGTTGTTGTTTTTAGGTCTTTGCAACTTTATGTAACATATATTGTCATATTAGAAAATATACACCAAATTGAGGAATTCGGGGTTAACCAAGAACAAAATGAATCATGTTAGAGAAATATTTCCAAGCATAATATTCAATTTTATCATATTTCCCATCTTTTAAATTTAGAAGAAATTTAAAACACTGAAAACCCAGGTTTAACCATAATTTGAGACCATGCAAGCATATAGGGTTTCAGAAGGCCACATTCTCTGCTTCCCATATCCCCAGTACCTTCCACTGAGTCAAACTAGAGTCTTCTGAAAACCAAAATCCACCAGAACCACGATGCCAATTGTAATAATAACAAAAGCACTGGGGAAATGTGCTTTCATAAGGGTTACAGTGCCTTGCAGGAGGTACATGGCATTGAAAGTGGTTTTGAAACTAAAGACAGGTACTCAAGCTGAGGGCACACTGCAAGTTGTCACACAGATGTCCTCTTGGCACAGGATCATGACAGAGCTTAGAAATGTTGACTGCAAAACTGGAGCAAATCCCCAACCCACAGGGCCATTCAACAGAACACACAGATACTTGTTCTCTATGCATGTATATTGGGGTTTGAATAGGATTTCAAAATAATTCACACTCAGCATCTTCTGTTTCCAGGATCTGATTTGATGACTCCCTCTTTTTCCATTGTTTTGATCAGAAGATTTGGAAAGCATGTGTGAGTGTATATGTAAGTATAGAAGAGAAGAAGAAAGAGGAAATGAGACAGAAGCCTATACACCTTTATAGATACAATTGTACAACTAATGAGGAATATTCATTGATTCATTGTGAGAAGGTCTACAAACTTCAGCCTAATAATTTACTGTTTTCATTTTAAGCATAGATAGGTAGGAAGGGAATTTGAAGTGCAAAATGCTTTATAGACAAAGAGAAGCACCACGGCTTTGTTTACACACATGGTTTTCTATGTAAGTACATTTTTAAACTCAACTGATATATGAACAGAAAAGTGTTTCCACTATTGAAACCTAAAGTTGTTTTCTTTTAATTATGAATGAAAATTTAGAAAATGTTACAGAAAATCCTGATCCTTTAGTGAAATTCTTATTGAAGAGTGTACCTATGTCATTCTATGGAGAATAATAATACCACCTGTCCATTTCTGTAGGTCACGATTGCTTCAGTTTAAAATTAAGGTAGAAAGAAAAATCTTATTTCCCCTATTTTATTCTATCGTCCCTAAAAGGTGAATTCAAGGTCAAATCTACTGAGAAGTCTAGTTTAAATTCATATGTGTGAAAATTCTCTGATAATGAAAGACAGGAATCTAAATATACTTCCTTTCCCTTATGAAATAACTCCTTTACTAAACAAATTCTCTATTATTGTCCAGGGTTATTCCTCAAGTTAGAAAATGCACTTCATGAAATAATTCAAAGTGAAGTTCAAATATGTGCATCAATTATTTTTGTGGGCCATATAATGAGACCTACCTAATTAGCAGATCTACCCAATTAGCTAAGTAGACATCAGAATTCTGAAAACCATATTCTGTACTTGCTTCATATATTTTCTCATGTTTTGAAGAAAATCTTAAAAGTTATTTAACATCACCAGTAAGAACCTGCACGTAACTATGATCATAAACCAGGCCTGTGAATCTTTGATTCATTTTAATTCACATGGATTTGAGGGGGGGGGGGGCTATCCTACCTACCAGCACGCTCTCCTAATTAATCATCTTTCTAACCTGTTCTTATCCCTCAGGACAAGAACAGTCCCTGATATAGCTACATAGCCACTCCAGTTGCTTAAAGTCCAATCCACGGTCCACCTGCCTCTGAACAGATCTCCACAAGGATAGGCAGATATTAATCAGCAGCTTCTTCAATCCTGCCAAGTAGAGCTTGGAAGTAAGTCAATTTTCAATCCATAGAATCCAGTGACCTGATCAAAATTGTGCTGCAAAATGCCATGCCCATGTTACTCTTCATGAGGACACACCTGTGTTTCCAAGTATATTTGGGATAAAGAGAAAGCAGAGGCGTGCTAAGGAAACCCATGCAGGGGATATGGATGTGATGCCTTTCAGGATGGGACATCAGCTTAAGTTTTTATCTCCCTAATTCCTTAATTTTCCCACCTAAAAGAGTTGGGCTTGAAGACTTTCCCGAGTCCTGACATTTCCCCTTTTCAAAGGCTCTGTTTCACATATTTCTCATCACAACAGAAGGTCTTTTATAAATAGGATGGAAATATTATTTCATATCTTTCCAGACACTTTTTGAGAGTAAATGGGAAAAGTTTTAATAATGACATCAAGACAATAGGCATAAATCAGGACTGCAGGAGAAAATCAGGATATATGGACACATCAGTTATAAGCCTCTAGGATTTTAGGAAAGAAAAGAAGACAATAGTTGGGTCAAATGATCCTTGATAAACACTTTCCCAAGATCCCAGCCCCTTTTCTTTACGATTTTTTCTTGTCTTTCACTTTAAATGCTCCTTGACAAAGGGGTCATCTGCTTAATACACCTCTCAGTTTTGCAATCAATGCATCTAACATTGACCACAAGTACATTAACACACACTGTCTCACAAACAGGAGGAAGACCCAGTAGAGATGAATGGGAAATTGAGTAATAGAGCTGTTTTGTCAAAAACATGGGTGTATAAAATATCGGTCTTCAGAAATATATTTACCTAAAGTGTATGTGCAAATACTTATCATAATCTGGCAGTATTCCTTGTGTTCACTCTGGTAAAATGTCTTACGCAAACTCAAGAATGGTTATCATATCATTTATTCAGAGAACCAGCATTATCATCACACAGTTTATTATATTTTTTTTTATTTTGTCATGAGTGTATTTTAAATATTAATTTTAAACTTCACAGAGTTTCCCATTCTAATTTTTTAAAAGCAGGTTTGGAAATATATGTGTATTTTCCACTGTGATTTTTTTTCTTTCCTTTAGTTTCTAATCCTTAGTTGCTGCATATTCTTTGTAGATATTTTGAACTTCTTTAATAAGTACTTTTACTATTTTTAGAAGCTATGTTAAGAAAATAAATGCAAATCAAAACCACCATGATATGCCACTTCACACCCATTGAGATGGCCAAAATAAAAAAGATAATGAGTGTTGACCAGGATGTGGAGAAATCAGACCTGTCCTACACTGCTGCTTGCTGGTGGAAATAGAAAATGAGGCAGCAACTTTGGAAGATTATCTGGCAGTTTTTCAAATAGCTAAATATAGAGTTACTTTATGGTTTTTAAACTTCACTCCTAGGCATATAACCACAAGAGAAATTAATTAAAATGACACTTTAATTTATACAAAACATTCATAGCAGCATTATTTATAAAAGCCAAAAAAACCCAAACAAACAAATATTCATCAACTAATGAAAGGATAAATCAAATGTGGTATATACATACAGAGGCATGTTATTCATAAAAAAAGAAAGACTGGCATACATTATCACCTAGATGAACTTTGAGAACATTATGCTAAATTAAAGAAACCAGTCACCACACACACACACACACACATTATTCCAATTATAATGGCCAAATCTATGAGGACAGAAAGCAAACTCATGGCTGTTTGACCATAAGGTTGGGGAAAGTTAGGGAGTTAGAAGAGGTCAGCTAAGGAGTACAGGGTATTTTTTGGGTTAATGAAATTGTTCTAAAATTTATTGTGCTGATGGGCTGATGGATGCTCAGTTCTGTGAATACACTAAAAGTTAGTGAGATATAATCTTTAAAGGAGTGAATTATATGCCAATTAAGTTGTATCTCAATAAAGCTGAAAGGTTGGTAGAATATTTTTTTTCTTGTAGAACAATAGGTCAAAAACACATTCACAATTAAGAGATGGGCTACACCAAAACAAAAACATAGAAATGCATAAGCAATGTAAGAAATTACTAGTTAAATCCTTCCATGAAACATAACTAACTCAGTGAAAGTTGATTTCTAAAAGACCTACACAGAAAGAATGGTTCAAGTCCTTGGACATTAAAATCTCTTAGTTGTTTAGTGCTATACAGACAATTTTTCAGAGATACAGAGATGGATTATGACAACTGGGAAGACCCTACTGGATAAGATCTCTCCAATAAGCATGAATAGTAGCTGGGGAAAAAGAAATGGTAAAGAGTATTCATTTGGAATTCAGAGCAGCTTGGGCTTGAATCATCTGTAACTTAATAGCCATGTGACCCAAAACAATGTACTTCACAACTCTCTAAGCATCACTCTCCACATTTCTAAAATTATATGCACTGTATAAGTTGCTGTAGGATAAATAGAAATGCTCTCAGTATCCAACAATTTATAAATATTGTATACAAATTCTTTTATAAATATCCCAACTTTCTAGTTTTATTACTTCCTTTTTTCTTTCTACTTTTTAAAAATTAGATACAGTTGAAGCTTGAGGTTATCTCTTCATTAACAACAAATTTTAGGCAAACATAAGGAAAAAAGCACAAATATCCTCTTATGAGAGTAAACTTTAGTATGAAATTGCCTTATGATGCTATCAGTGATGAATGAGGTTGAAAATCTAAAAAGTACTGTTAAGTTGCAAAGGTTACAGTGTCTCATTCAGTGGAAAATTATACCAGTTACTTTGACATTGGAGAGCCATGAACCAGGGCCATGAAAACTTTTAAATTCTCTGTGGATTGAGTGAACATTTGTACATTCTTTCACTATTTGTTGTGCATTTTAAATTTTAAAGTGATTAATTTTATGTTCTTTTGTGCTTCAGTTTTATATCAGAAAGTACTGTTTAATTTTTGCTCCTTTCCCAAGTATTAGTTTTGGAAGAAAATCTGGGACAATCTCCATTGTATCCTCAGAAATAACTGATTATAGTGCTTTCAAGTTCCTAAGATGACTAATAAAAACAATGCTTAAGTTATAAATTACTTTAATGAAGACTATATTGCTTTTCATTTTACAAAATAGTTTAACTGAATATGGGCATAGAGAAATATTTATTGCTGCAAAATGAAGAGATTATCACATATGTATACACACACACACACACACACACACATAAACCTTATGAAGTCCTTGTAGGAAGGGAAATCTAAGAATTGTAAGGAGAAGTTTCAATACAATATAATAGGTCAAGAGTGTGAGATATGACATTAGACTGTTGGGGTTTAATTTCTACCTCTCATCCTTGCTAACTGTGATGCTGGAAGATTACCTACTCTGTGCCTTGGTTTTAGAAACTATTAGATGATGATGATGATGATGATGATGATGATGATGATGATAATAATAATAATAATAATAATAATACCTTCCCTTATAGGATGTCTATTAGTATATGAAAATTGTTTAAAAGAAGATCTGGCACATAGTAAGTGCTCAGTAAAAGCATCAAATTTTGTAAACAGTCCTGTCAGGGGGATAATTACAATACCTAGATTCCCTTACAGTAAACATTCCAATTATTTATTACTGTAAGAAATGTTTTTTTCTTAGAGGCAAAAGTTGCATAAAACCAGTCTTTAAAATCCTATTATGTACTCCAATGCCTGTGAATAATCTACACTTGATAAACATACATGGACTACCCCTTCCAAGACTTAGGCATGGCTGGATCCTCTCACCATTTAATCTCAACTTAAAAAGTCCTTGCTTTAAAGCCCCTTGGGACCATCCTGTTTAGAGCAGCCAATCAATCCCCATCTCAGGCCACTATGTAGTTTATTTTCCTCACATCTCTCATCCTGTCCACGGATTATCTTTCTTTTGTTTACCTATTTGCTAATTTATTTTAGAATATAAGATTTAGGAAAAAAGTTGGGGGCTGGGGATATAGCTCAGTTGGTACAGTGCTTGCCTTGCTTGCACAAGGCTCTGGGTTCAATCCCCAGCACCACCAAAAAAGTTGATATTTTAATTTTCATCACATCAGAACCCTAAACAGTCTCAGGAACATACTAGACTCTCCCCAAGTACCTGCCAAGTAAAGGAATTTATATTTGGAGGAAGATAATGTCTTATAAAATAGAGCAGTAAATTATAAAGAGGAAAAAATTCTCCCGTTTTTCACCCTCTGGGTTTGCCAGGAAGTAGTTTCATATGTCCTTGGAATCAGTACCTGTGGAAAGGGAGAGGAAATGTAAGATCAATCAAGGGAGATACTGGGTTATAATGAGGTCCAGTAGCCTCTGTCCCCCCACCCTCCCTGCACCACTCTGGGAAACTCTGGAGCTGAAATGGCTCATCAGAGTTTTCCTATGTTGAATCCAAATGGCTTCAACTGTACACCTATGCCTCAGTCAGTCCTTGTCCAAGGAGCACCCACAAAAGGGTGTGACCTTGGCCAGGGGGCTTTCTGCAGCTGAGGAAATCCTGGGGCCAAGGACTGCAGGAAATGCGGCAAGAGCTTCTCTGTCCAGATAGAAGGATCTTGGTGGTTCATCTTCATGTCCACCACACAGTCTCAAGTCCCTGGAATTTAACACTGAACACAACAAAGCCCTTGCCCTCAAGGAGCTAGTATTCCAGAAATGGTAAGATCAGCAATGAGCGCACACTCATACAAGTCAGGATATAGTAAGAGTTATGATGAAAAAATTCTTCTGGAAAAAGATGAGGAAGTGATATTTTAGCTGACATCTGCAGAACGTGAGGGAGAAAGCCATGTTTAATATGGACAAGGAACACAGGAGGCTGTAGGTCCAGCCAGTCAGAAGCCCCAGGGTATTCAGACAGCAGGAGGGGCCCATGCCGGAGGATGGCTGGCTATGAGGTCAATGAAGTAGTTGGGGGCTGATTTATGAGATTCTAAAGTTGAACTTTTGAAAACATGGGTTGTTCCTCACTCCCAGTAGTTTCCTGAATTTCTTTCCAAAAGTTACTCTTTTATCCTAAGAAGGGATATTTAGTTTGGGATTTGATGATTCCTCCTATTTAAATACTTTTCCGTGAACTTATTTGACTGTTTACAAGCAAGGGGCAAGAAAAGTCTCTGTAACCAATAATTGTAATTTTACTTCACAGCTGAAATCTCCCAGATGTTTGCTCTGTTTTTCACTATTCTGAGAGGGTTTTAAATGCATCTGCTTGAGGAATTAATATGTTACTTCTCATTTTCCTTTCCTTGGAGAATTTCTATTCTTTTGAGAATTTTCATCTGTAATTAGTTTTCCCTTACGTTGTGAGTATTGGTTATTTGAGATGGCTATCACATCTGTCCTGATGCATATTTCCCCAGGTAGCAAGAGAAGCAGATGCAAGATTGAAGCCTATGAAGCATTTCCTGATACAGGATTTGTCAAAATAGAACTTCTGCTAGACAGAAACAACAATTAAAAAGTAATGCAATGCACTCTAATCAAGGGAGAAAATGAGTCATTCCTCCTAGAATTCTTTAGAAGAACCAGGTGTTTTTATCATAAATAGTCTACTTAACATATGTAAGCCATTATGCATCACAAAGTAGACAGGCAAACAAGATCAAAGTTCAAATCTTCAACTGGTATCCATCAAGAGAAGCAAGGACAGAAAATGAAGTGGAATCAGCATCCACAGAATCCAGACGGAGCTAATTCACTGAATTGCAGAATTGAACACCTAGTCCCCTAAACTTACTGTTGCACAATAACAAAGAACAAACTTCAGCCAACCCCCCCTTGGAGCAGCTTTTCCAGCATCTGAGTTTACAATTTATTGCATTCTCAATGTGTCCTCACAGTCCTCAGGAGGATGGTTCTGGGATCAAGGATGACTTCTCAGGCTCCGCTCAAAGTTTGCAGTTATGCCAAAGGAATTTTAGAATTACTCTCCTTTAGCTAGAGATAAGGAAAGTAGTCGAAAATGAAGGGAAACATTGCACAGGATCGAATTGAAATTAAAATCCACAGAATCTTTTCTTACAAACCAGATTGATCTTCTTCTTTCAAGTCAGCAAAGGGTGCACTGGGATTCTATGCACTCTCATGGATCTTCCATAAAGGAAAGAATAGAAAACCCATCTTCCTTTGAGGACAGAGTAAGCACTTTTTGATACACCCTTGAGGGCCCGATATAGGCTGGGGAATAGTCAGGGTCCACATAAGGATAGGACATTCTTCAGCATCTACCCTGCAAGTGACCTTCTAGCTGCTGAGATTTGACACATTTTCTTTGTTCTTTTACCAGGAAGAGGAATATAAGGTTGTAATAATATTCTCCATCCATCTAAGAAATGAATGGTACCATGAAAGCATTAAAAGGCACTCAAACTAAACTGAAAGCCCAGAGCCTGTAGCCAAGACAACAGTCCAATGAAGTCTCAGAAATCCCAAAGTTTTATTTCTCGTGCTTTCCATGTTTGTCTTTCTTTTTAACTTTGTACTTGAGGGTGACTTTTAAATCTTATCTTGCCTCTAACATCTGATAAAGTGTTAACAAGATGATACAAAGAAATGAGATACTGATACTGATATGGCCTGCAGAGTTAGGAGGAATGTTATTGAGAGGGAGGACCCAAAGCAGAAGTGAATTTGATAGGTAGAAAGGCAATGTGTATGGTGGCCAGAAATAAAGATAAGAGTGTGCAGTATATACAGCTTTTGTATAATAGCTTTTGCTGAGAAAAAAATGTGTATGTAGCAAAACTGGGAGCTGGTGAAAGAATGTGGGGCCATACAGTTACTATGGCTGTTGCCAGGAGCCTTAGATAGATGACTACGTTGTCTCTTTATAGGTCCTTACCTCCATCTCTGTATATTTCCCTCTTTTCAACATTCAATGCAGTATACCTATGCAGTTCTATTTGAGAGATCAAATCATTTCCACCTTCTTTGAAAGGTGGAAAAAGTTTGGAATGAGAATGGAGAAAAAAAATAAACAAGGATCTTCTTCTGGTTTCTGGATTACAAAAGGTAGAACTCATGCATCATTAAGAATTCTCTGAAACCACTGAAATAGTTCTATTAAGCAAAGATGGAATTTCTTAGGATATAGAATACTGGGGACATAACAAAATCTTAGGAACAGATGAATCAACGTCGGGACACACAAGAACCTGAATCAGAACCTCATATGAAGATTTCAGAGATCACCTCTGTAGAGTGCTGCAAATGGAATGCTTAAATTCAATCACCTTCGTTTTCCTTTTCTCTTTGTTTAGGATGTAAATTTCTTCAGAGACAGTATGATTGACCAAGTTTATATCATATCTTAACCACTTGGGGGTGAGACGAGGGATGGGGAGTGAAGGGGGATCCTATGATCGGCATCCCAACAAAACCATGTGAAATGGGAGAGGGTTGGACATGCATCCAAAGGAAGGAATACCAAAGGAAGATCAAAACCAGACGGATTTATTATAATTTGGAAACTGACGATGTTCATGTTTTCTGTCATGATAAGACCACCACCACCACCACCAACAACAACAACAACAACAAAATTGCAGAAGAAAGACAGGAGAGGAGAAGTTGAGAGAGAGAAAGAAAAACTAATTGAAAAGTCAAGAATTTCAAAAGATGTCAAGTTTGCAACCCAAGAAATTACTGTAAATTCCTGGAACACATCTATGAAACAGAAAATGAATGATATATCCATTGCTCTTTGAAATAGAATACTGAGTATGGCTTTATGTTGTGGAAAACTCTCTTGAAACTTATCCGGGTAATACTGTTAAATTACGTAGTCTGCATGTCTTTTTCCCCCTTTGCATGTGTTACAATTCTAAATTTAATACTTCAACTGGATTAATGGCAAAAGACTAGTCTTTTAGTAAAGATATTTTTCCATTCCTACAGAGTTAATTGAAAAGGAAGCCCATCTTCAGTTCTCCTCAAAGGCAGAAAACACATGGGATACATTTGAAAAATCCTCATTGAAAGCCACTAGTGAATTCTGGTGCCCACAGTTACTCTATCATGAACTAGAGATTTGTTTTATTTTACTTTTCCACTGAAGGACTTTTAAACTATAATTATTAATGCACATTAATTGTACAAACTAATGGGCTAGACTGTGACATCTCCATTCATGCATATAGCTTTGATCATATCTACCCTCCCTATGTTCCACTCCACTATTCTCTCCCCCATTCTTTGATCACCCTTCTACTTTCCACATATGAGAAAAAACACGCAACACTGTGTCTGGCTTATTCCATTGAATGTGATGACCTTCAATTCCACCCATTTTTTCTGCAAATGATAGGATTTCATTTTTATTTATGACTGAATGAATACTACAATGTTATATATATATATATACATAGAGCTTTTAAAAGTTTTATTTTTATTAGCTATGTACCAGTTAAAACAATAGATTCATACAACTTTGGTAGAAGATTTATCCTATTTTAAGAGAAACAGTTTAATTCTGTTTTCATTTCACTTTTCCCCCATTATTACTTTTTTATATGCAAAATGTAGCTACAGTTTTACCAGACTTATTACCGGTTTTTACTGAGAATTATAATACAAAGGAAAAACAAACATGTTCATCAATTAGACAGTGTTTAGGTAAACTATGGCTTATGCATATGTGGAATACTATGCAGCAGTTAAAAATGAGGCAGTTCCATTCGTACTGTCAAGAAATGTTATTAAGTGAAAAAGAACAAGCTGGAGAATATATAGTATATTACACAATTCATGTAAAAAATAAGCAAAAGCAAAATTACATATATATGAAGAAATTCTAGGAGGGCCTCTGAGGATATGCATCTAGGGAAGGAATTAGATTTGCCACAATAGAAATATGAGCAGTTGCTTCTTGTTATCATTTGACTTTTAAAAGGGATATATTATTAACACAATTAAAAATAAGTTTATACAGTTTTAAAGAGTCATTGTCTAAAAGGGTTTAAAAAACTAATAAAAACAATGTAGATAGTTGCCTTTATTATCATACTCAATTTAAACTCATTCTGATCAGGATATGCATGCTGTCTTCCCAATTAGTAAGTTTTATCGACAGAATAGCAATAACCTCACTGTGCTTTTGTAGAGATTAAAAAAGATACATATGCAGCATGGTGGCAGCTCAATGTATGATAGTTACTATTATGAATACTGAGACATCAGGTTTATTAACAAGCTCTGATAGCTGAATAGGAAAAAATTGTGCCTTGCCAGAATTTGCTTATTTCCTCCATGCTACGAATTGTTGCCCCCCCGCCACATGTATATTTCATTAGCAGAGTATAGTGTTATAATTTGGGTGCTACTTATCCTAACCTGGAAGTTTAAATTCATGTCATTTAAGTATTAATTTGAAAGCATTAAACAAGAATACAATTTAGGCCAAGTCTGGCACTGCAAATGAGATAGGCAGCCCATTCTGTGGAAAGCATCTTCAGGACAAATAACTTGTGTCTTGTGACACAAGTGCTACATCACCCACTGATGTCATCAGAATTTTCCTTGCTTTTATTAGTTTCAGTCTGAACTTTCATAAAATGAATCTCTTTTGTTTCCATAATTTATTTGGAAGATAATGTGGTCTGAGTGCTAGACCTGGAGCCAAGAAATGTCGTGCTTCTAATCTCAATTCTATCGTTGGTGCTCACTGTGGTCCTTGAAAACTAATAACTCTAAGATTTGCACCTACAAATTGAATCAAAGAACATAGCAGTCCTGGAAATATTCTTAGAAATAAGGGACAAAAAGGAGAGATCATGAATGAAGTATTTATATATTTACTTTCAGTGCCATACCTCCAAGGTCAGTTCATCTTAGAAAAGCACCTATTCAGAAAGAACTAACTAGTCTTCCTATCAATAAAAGAAACTCTGAAAAAGAAAAAAAAAAAACACTGGATTTATGAAAAAAATTCACTTTAGATGTGTATGGGAACAGAGATGTATAATATGTGTAGCTTAGAATAATACACAACAGGAACAAACATAAAGAGAACAAAGGGCAGTCTTAATTTAACCGAAGCACTGATTCATTGAGTATTTGGGGTGCTTTTAACTACACGCATTCTGTTTAATTTCAACAAAGTGAGGAAAAATCAAATAATAAAAATGATGTTCTTTGCTGTGCAGGCTGTATAAAAATATAACCACAGGTATTGCTATTTCAATACCACGTCTCTGTGGTTGTTAGATAAATAGACATAACTGCTTATGAAGAGAGAAAAAAAATATCCATCAATCTATCTCAATACCATAAACTAAAGTTTGTTTCAAACCAAGATGCCTCTATCAAACATTTGAAAGTTATAAAATCTGATTTCTTCGATTATTCTAAGTGTCTACTATTTTACTATGAATTTAAATTAGAAAAAAAAAGTGTTTAAAAATATTTTTTTAAATTAACAAGTTTACATCCTATAAAATTAATTAGGTTGTAGTTAATGTCATTTGTATTTATGTACTAAAGACATTATACTAATAAATGTACCAAATTATTATTATTATTTTGGTATTCATTGGTTAAAATGAGATCACATGTTATTTTTAAAATTGAAGAATCAAGTCATTCCTCTCATCCTTTCTTGTTTCCCTAAGCTACTACTCAAATTGCTTCAAGGACATCATCTATCTTTGTAAAATAATGTTTTGCTGATACAGAAAACAGTAATTCAAACAAACTAAATTCCACTTTCAAATCCTAAGGACCTTTAAAAAAAATTGAAGTTTGTTTGGAAAGTAAGAGTTTGGTACTTACTGAATCTCAAACTTTCAGAAGGAATCTTCCAACTCCCATTCTCTCATAAATCTCCCAGCAACAAACCATATTGCAGTAACATTAAAAACCCAGGATTACAACCCTGCCCTTTACTGCTCAGAGAATTTTCTCTCTGTTAAGACTTTTTAAAAGATCATCTCCTCTAAAACTGTGCAACGTCTTCCGAGAGTTAAGTATCACAGTGCTTAAGCCTTCAGGATAAGCAAGAATATATAAACGAGTCAGCAAAAAGGGTTTAAAAATGAAAGGAAAAAAAAAAGATTTTTAAGATGGTTTTTCTGGTAGTTTTATTTAATAAAATCAATTCATTTTTGAAAGTAATTTCTTATTCATCTTCTTTCAAGTTTCCCCCCCCCCCCCGTGGGAGAGGCTGGTATGTAAGATTGACTAATTTTTTTTCCGCTTATTTTTCTGCCACGAATCTGGATTTTTCCTGTGCAGAACTAATGAAATACAATAAAATATTACTGCTATATTCCCTGATAATTTTGGAAAAAAGGCACACAAAACTAAACCATTCTGTAAGCTACATTGGACAAATAACAGACGATATCACATGTATGGCTTTCTTTCTTTTGCCCTTTTGGGCAACTATGCCCCTTGTTTTCTTCTCAACAGCTCCTGATAGCACTCCCTTATCCCCACTGTGGCTGTGTCCCAGAGGCACATGCAGTACACCTGAGCAGGTCCACAGGCAGGGATTATTTCTAATATGTGTATATTTACCTATTTTCACAAGTTTTGAGTAAATAGATGTAAGAAATCAAATATTGATTTAGGTAGGAAACTGGAATAGTTTCTGAAAGCTTTTTTTTTTTTCTTTTCTTCTCCTCCTCCCTTGTCAGTATCATCTTTCTTTTTTTTTTTTTTTTTAATTTGGTTGCTTTCAT